GAAAGCACAGAATCAGCCCATGGGCAAAGCACTGTCACGTGTTAAGGCATCTGCAGGCAGCAGCACAGTCCAGAGCCTGCTGCCAGTGACTTAGGAGCTTCCTGAGTCCGTCCCAGTACCACTTAACCCAGAGCATTCCTGTGGTTCCTCCTCTGAGCTCACATGGGTGAGGAGAAAGCTTGGAAACCTTTTGCTGTTCCCTTTCCCCATTGGGGCATTCACAGGAGCAGCTCAAAGCCCTGCTGATGGCAAGGGGATCCATGCAAGGGCCAGCATCCAGGTCCGACTCACTGGGTAGGAGGAGGCTGCTGCTGCCCCTGCCTTCTGCCTGGGTCCTTGGTTAAGGGAGACACTGGCAAAAAGAGGTGTGAAGCCCTACAGTGCACAAGGGAGAGCAGCGTGCAGCAGCCTCAAAGCCAACAGAGAACGCTGCTGCAGCGGTGTGATGGCTGCTTATTGCCCTCTGCACCCCGTTTTCTATAGGTATCACGGGGTATTTGAGCACGTTAAGGAAGCTCATTTGGGTAATTCATCTCTTGCAAAGGGGAAAGAAAACGCCCCGCAGGGATCTGTGGTTCTCTGGCACCTTTTCTGCCTTTAGAAAGGCTTCATTCCAGCTGCAAACTTAAAGAGTTAATGGCTGTGTTGCAGGAAAGCAATGGCATGAAAGGGACACCGGGGAATAATTAGAAGCAGAGAAACCCTGTGTTTATATGCAGACAGGGCTTGTCTTACAAACGCAATTACCGACCATGCCGGGACTACATCCCAGCTATAATCTTGTCCTGGCACCAGCTCCCAGCCCTCACGACCCGCAAGACATTCGGGTGCCACCAGCAGCTTAACCATGGCACCAGGAGGAGGAGGAGGCTGTGCTAAAAGCAGCCTCCCGTGGCACCGCTGGGTCTCCTGCAGGGAGCTCGCCTCTCAACCAGCGACTGAGGAGCTTGGTGCACCAGGGGTGACACCCAATCCTCCTCACAGCCAGCATTCCCCAGAGGCTTTGCATAGGCCAAGACCCAGTGGAAGGGCTGGGATGCCAGCTTAAGTGTCTGTTATTAATACTAATCTCCCCGCAGCGTTTCAGCACCTAAAGAGATGTTTGTTCTCCCTCCTGCAGAGCTTTACATCAAACCACCAGCCTGGTGCTGATGCTCTGGTCCCTACAACAACTCCAGTCCCAGTCCGGTTCCACATTCACCTGCCCCTCGGGGTTCACCCCTTGCGCAGCACAGATTGGAGCTCTGGGTTGCTCCACACCTATTTACCTCCCAGCCCGTGCCTCAGGCAGACAGGTACTTCCAGGTGCTGATGAAGGCGCTGGGGATGAGGGAGTACGGCACCGTCGTGACGCTGCTCCACGTGTCGGATGCTGGGTCGTAACAGTCCAGCGTCTTGCAGCGCTGAGCCCCGCAGTACCCCCCCACCACGTACAGCCTGTTCCCCGAGGTCACGGCGCGGCAGCTGATGCGCTTGGCCGTGACGTCCCCAAACTTGGACCACTGGAAGGTGTCGCTGTGGAAGCGGTAAGCGGAGCTGGCCGAGAACTCCGTGTCACCACCGATGACGATGATGTGGCTGCCCACCACGGCGGCGGCCGTGTACCGCCAGGGCTGCGGGCAGCAGGCGGGCACCGTCCAGCGGTTCTGGCAGGGGTCGAAGCACTGCACCTTGGGCAGCTTCTCCTGGTTGGCGCTGGTGCCACCGAAGACAAACAGCTTCCTCTTGGCTCCCACCACGGCGGCGTTGCTGACGCCTTCGCGGAGAGGAGCCACCAAGGACCACTTGTCCAGCTGCGGGTCGTAGTGTTCCACTTGCTTCAGAGAGACGGAGGGAGAGGCCGGGAAGGCGCCGCTGCCGGCCGTGTGCCCCCCCACCACGTACAGGCAGTGGTCCAGCTCAGCGGAACCGTGGCCAAACCGCGCCACCAGCATGGGGGCAGCTTTTGCCCACTCGTCGTGGAGGGTGTCGTAAACCCAGACGTCTTTGGAAGCGCCGTTCTCAGAGCCTTTGCCGCCGGTGATGTACACCTTACAGCCGATAGCGCAGGCGCTGCACTCCTTCCGAGGGCTCGGGATGTCCGCCCGGGGAATGATCTCGCTGGTTTTGTGATCCAGCACGTAGATCTTGTCGCACATGAAGGTCTGGCCGCCCAGCAGCAGCAGGGCCTGGCTCAGCTTGCGGGGTCGGGCACAGCAGCCCGTCACCAGGCCGTCGTTTTGCAGGATCTTCATCTTGCATCGGACGGCGTCAGCCACGATCGCCTCCCCCAGTTTGTGGCTGGTCACCAGCTTCTCGCAGGCCACTTGCTTGCGTAGGTAGGACTCGGGCAGCAGGGCCAGGCGGACAGAGCGCAGCAGCTCGGGCAGAACCTCGTGCCGCCGGGGCAAGTCGTACCGGATCCAACCTATAACAGCTTCATAGACCAACGTCTCGTCCTCTACCTCCAGCTCTTCGCTCTCCACCAGCTCCAGCAGCTTGGCCTTGGGCAGTCGCAGGAAGTCTTCAGTCTTGCAGAGGGAGGTGAAGTTGGCCAACGCCATCCTCCAGGAGAGCTCCAGCAGCCGCTCGCAGCAGTGGGCATCGGACAGCAGCAGCATGTTCAGGCAATTCCCGGGGTAGAGATTCTTCTCCAGAAAGTCAGCCGAAGCATCGCGGATATCCTGGAACTGCAGCATGTCCCCGGCTTCCAGCAAGGACTCGGCGTTCTCCTCGTTAATCAGCACCCGCGCCGAGTAGGCATAGTCCAGCAGCAGCTCCAGCACCTCGGGGTGGAGGGAGTCGTGGAAGTTCACTTCAGCATCTCTGCTCTCCTTCAGGCCCCCGCTGAACATAGCCTCGAAGTAGCGGCTGCAGGAGGCCAGGACAGCCCGGTGGCAGTGGAAGGTCTGGTTCCCCGCACGCAGCACCACGTCGGTGAAGAGGTGCCGCTTGCGGAGCAGGTTGAGGTGCGTGAGGAGGCTGTCGGCGTGGCCCGCTTTGTGGAAGAGGTGGATGTTCATGGAGCCGGAGCTCGAGCGGGATTTCCGGTTCTCGTGGCTGCTCACGGACATGGTGCCGAGGACGCTCCAAGAACGGAAAACCGGAGTCAGCGCAGAAAGCACCGGGACCGGGGCGGGTGGGGGGGGAGCCGGGACCGCGGTAAGAGCAGATCGGAGGGGAGGGGGGGCTCGCCCCGGGCGGTCCCGGACCGAAGGCGGTTGCAGGGCACGGCACCGGCGGGGCCCGGCAATGAGCGCTCCCGGTGCTGCCCGCTCCGCTCCCGCCGCTCAGCTCCTCCGCCGCCGCGCCCCGCCGCGTGGCCGCCCCGCCGCCGGCCCCGCCCCCGGCCGATGGAACAGCCAATCAGCGGCCGCAAGCGATCAGCGCTCGCTCTTTTTTGTGAATGGGAGCCGGGGCCTGGCGTGCGCATGCGCCGCCCCTTAACCCCTGCGTGCCCGGCGGCAGCGGGTCTGGATGTGCCCCCCCCCCGGAGCCCCGATGTCCACCCCGCAGCGCCGCTCCCGCCCGCAGCGGGGGGCGGTGGCCGGGACCCTCCTCAAGCGTTCTGCAGCCCCGGTGATGCCGTAAATCACCCCCAGCTCTGCTGCCAACGGCCCTTAGATCTCGGCTGCTTGCTTGGTCCCTCCCAGACCCCACCATCATCCATCCACCCATCCATCCATCCATCCATGCATCCATCCATGCATCCAACCACCATCCATTCATCCATTCATCCAAACTATCTATCCATCTATCCATGCATCCATCCATCCATCCAACCACCATCCATCCATCCATCCAAACCATCCATCCATCCAAACCATCCATCCATCCAAACCATCCATCCGTCCAAACCATCCATCCAATGCATCCAAACCATCCATCCAACCACCACCCATCCACCCATCCAATCAATCCATACAAACCATCCATCCACCCACCCACCCACCCATCCACCCATCCATCCATACTTAGGAAGTATTTTCCTGAGTGGAGCAAAGCAGGAGCCAGTTTGGGCTGATGGCTGCAGCAGAAAAGAGGAAAAAAACACCCCAAAAAGGCAGTTTTGGGGAGGATGGGGTCTGTATGTGTAAGTGCTGCCCTGGGGAGGTGGCTGCAGCCACCACAGGGGCTCGATTGCTGTGTGCCAGTGCCACTGCTCCACAGAAATGCACAACTTTCAGAATGACCACATTTTGCTTGATCTTTGCTTTCTTCTGCACTACCAAATGGCTCAACATGGAAGCAGGTGAAGCAAATGCACTCGGAGCAGCTCAGAGGGGCCCTTCTCTATGTTAAAATTGAAAGTGTGGTATAGAGTTTTATCATTTGGTATCAGAGATGTATTTGGGGTCTTTTAGATCTCTGTAGGTCCCACAGTGAGCAGGAGAGGGTATCCAGGAGGACTGGATTCATGAGATTAAGGATCTGAAAAGAGAGAATCTGATTTCTGCAGCAGGAGCCACTGCAGGGTGACAGGAGCAGGCAGCAGCTGCAGCTGTCCCTGAGCAGGACCCAGGCACAAGATCTGTAGAGAAAAAAAAACCCAAGTTTCTTCTGGTTTGTTCTGCCTCCCCCAGCCCCAAAAGCTGGAGATCTGATAGCAAACGGGGAGCGCAGTCAGGAAGGCGTCTTTGGGATGCACTGCAGGGCGAAAGTGCAGATAAAGAGCAAGGCTAGGGCGAAGGATAAGGAGTATCGAGTCCTTGCTCTGCCCTTTGGACGCAGGCAGGAGATAGTTTCACATGTCTGTTCCAAAAGCAACACCACAAAAGAGGAGGTTGGAGCTGCAGGAGCATGAGCTCCACACATGCTCAAGCACAACTTTTTTCCAAGGGTGCATTTTCCTGCTGCTTCCTCAGGTGCTCCCAGTTCTTTTGGTACAACAAAGGCTGGTAAGCTGCAAGCTCCCACAGCACAAACGTTTCCTGTTGCCCAGGCACCACTTGGAGCTTTCTAGAACCAGGTAAAAGCACATTTGCCCGCTTATCAGGAAGGAAGGTTCACTCAAGGCCGACTTCGAAGCGTTCATCTCGTTTATTATTGGCACCACCTAGAAATACAACTGTAAACCCCATCTTGGCATGGGTTGGATTGGTTCTTTGAACGGGGATTAATACATCCGCTGCTGCCGGAGCCTGGTGGAAGAGCTCCACCCGGCGGCAGTCCAGCAAGGCACGGCTGGAAGCTCGGTGCAGCTTCTCCTTCACCCACCAAGTCCCAACTTCCAGTATTACTCCTTAATGAGCAACACGGACTCCAAGAACGCCCCACACGGCTCCCAGTGGTTATTTCCTTCCCCTCTCGCCTCCACAGAAACACAACCAACATAAAATAACCGCTGGCTCCTGTTTCTGCTGGGGGCAGCAGTTCTGGGCTCAAAAACTGGAATATCCGATGGAGAAAGTCCCATGATCGAGATCACCTCCCAAGGCATCAGGCTCACAGGATCCAGCTCTCGGAAGTTTTGTGTGACAGAACCGTGGCTGGTTTCCCTCCTAATGCTGACTTTGTGCGCTTTTAAGTGACAGCAAAGACTGGAGGGTTGCATTTGTCATTTGGGATGGAGGATGGAAGTTGTTTTCCCTGTTTTCCCTATTTTACCAAGCATAGGTTTTTTGATTTGTCAGAGGATTAACCTGAAAGATTTCTCAATAGAGTGATAACAATCATTAGCTGCAAACAACCCTCTCTGTAATAGACATCTTGATTACAGTCCCAATTACAGGATGGGTGAAATCACAACCATTGCCTCCCAGGAGAGTTAAAGTGCACCCTGCCTCACTGAAGGCATCTTCACCAGGTAAAAACTGGGCTCCTAAAGCTTAATGATGGTTTAGGCAGCTTCAGAACTCCCTCCTCTAGAGGCCTGGTAGATACCTATCAGGGAAGATACTGTCCCCAGGAGACCAACTAACCATGTTGGAAACCTTCCAGCCCACAGAAATCCTGGAGGCAGCCAATGGATTGCATTGGAGAGATCTGCCCCTTGTGCGAGGATGCTCAGAACTTCAGCCTTCACTTGGGCTTTCACTTCCTTCCGAATCTGAGGCGAAGATGTCCTGCTGGAAGCAAAAGTAACGTGAGTGATAGCCCATCATGTATTAACAATTAACGACAGCTCACAGATGAGAACAGGCAGGGCTGCGTTAAATGAGCTGGATGTCCAAGGAGGGCAATCTTACCCCTTGTGCTGCTGCAGCTTTCTTAACTGGCACAAGATTCTGAGGGATCTGAAAACAAGACAACAGAGTTATCTCCCCTAGACCAAAGGGGAGGGTTTCTTTCTCAACATGACCTGTATCCATGAGGAAAAACACCCTTCTGCTGCCTAAAGGGCCAATCATTTTATCCTGATTAATCAGAGAATCATAGAATGGCAGGTTGGAAGGGAATTCAGGGATCATCTGGTCCAGCGTTTCTAGGCAAAGCACGACCCTGACTAGACGGCCCATCACCAAGCCAAATCTTAACAGTGACCAACACTGGGGAGTCCTCCACTTCTTTGGGGAGATCATTGCAATGGCTGATTGTTCTCATGATGAAAATCTTTCCTCTTGTGTCTAGTCAGGGTCTCCCGAGGAGTAACTCGTACCCATTACCCCTTGTGCTTTCCATGTGACTCCTTGTAAAAAGGGAGTCTCCACTGTCTTTGTAGCCACTCTAACTACAGGAACATGGTGGTAAGGTCTCCCCTGGTCCTTCTTTTCCTAGGACTAAACAGACTCACCTCTCTCAGCCTTTCAGCACACGGCTGCCCTGTCCTTGCATCACCGTTGTGGCCCTTCTCCAGCCCATCCACATCCTTCTCTGGTATAGCAGGGACCAAACCTGAGCCCAGTATTCCAGGAGTGGCCTGGCACACGTTGAGTAGAGCGGGACACGCTCCATGCCCTGCCCATCTCCTTCCCCCCGCATCCCACCTTACCGCAGGATACCCAGGAGCAGGGACAATGCCCAGAGCCCCATGCTCAGGGTCCACCACTTCTGGGCACGGGCACGGATGATGCCGGCGTCGGCAGCCCAAGCGACGTGCTCGCAGGGGTAGTACAGCTGGTTGGCCACGTTGCAGAGCACCGATAGCGCCCGCACCAGCCCGTCCTCGTCCTGTGGGGAGCACGGAAGGGGGGGGGACGGGACACGCACTGGTTCCTGCAGTGGGACCTGGGGGAAAGGGGGCTGCCGGTGCACCCCACGCTCACCTTGGGGCCCAGCCCGTAGCCGCAGCTGTAGCGGAGCATGGCGAGGTCATCGAAGAGGCGCAGCGCCGTGCGGCAGGCGCTCAGCTCGGCAGACACGGCCAGCAGGCTCCCGGGCAGGCCGGACGGGGAGGCCTGCGGCCCGGCCAGCGCTCCCCCTGCCAGCTGACAGCCATAGCAGAGAGCACGGACCTGCGGCGAGGGGGGAGAACCCGGTGAGGGCCCCAGAGCCCGGTGAAGGCCCCGCCGCTCCCGGCTCTCCCTCACTCACCGCCCGGTCGCGGCCCCGGTGGGTCTCCAACGCAGCGACCAGGCCGCTGAGGGCGCTCGCCGCCATAGCAACGCTTCCGGGATGTGACGTCACGACGCGGTGCACGCCGGGAAGCCGTCGCTATGGAGACGCGGCCTAGCTTTGGGACAAGGCATTGTCGCCATGGCGGCCTGCGCGGTGCCGCTGATCCCCGCGCCCCTCACGGGCCCTGCCTTCCTGAAGGCGACCCATGCCCTGCTGGGGGATGAGCGCTGAGCCCTGGGCAGCGCCTGGAAGTCGGTTTCTCACACCCACTTCCCCCCGCGTTGGGGGATTCACAGGAGGTCTCCGGCCCCGCTGCCCCGCAGCGGGCAGGTGCTGGTCTCGGCCGGGGGCGGCGGCGGGGACACCGGCTCGGAGACTCGCTGGGCGTTTACCTAATGGCCCCTGCGGGCCGCGGCCCCGTTTGTGCCCCCGGAGCCGAGGATCCGCATGCACACGGACCCCCGCGTCTGCGTCCTCGCCTCCGAGACCAGGGAGCGCTTCTGTCCCCAGCCGGCCGCGAGGAGAGCGCCCGTGCCCAAGGGCAGGGGGCGGGAGGACAACGTTCCCTGCGGAGACAGGGAGAAAATCGGGCTCCTTCCATCCATCTACACCTCGTACCCAGCGCATGAGGTCCAGCCTGCTGCCAGGCCATGGCACTCACACAGGAGTAAGCTGCTCTACCCCAGTGCTGCACTGGGATCCGGTGCCTTGGCTCAGAGTTACACTGTATAGGGGTGTTTTGCTTTCTCTTTTAAAAGCGAGCAAATCAATCTGATGCTCATAGAACAGGGTGGCAGCACTCCCTAGAGCCACTCGCCAGCCAAGCTATGGCTGCAGAGCCTTTCTTCTACACTCGCTGCATCTGCAGATGCTGCAGGATTCACCCCAGAGCTGCATCACTTCTGAGGTGCCACATCCATGTGCTGCAGTGTTGTGGCTCACCTTATTGCAGCCTGGCATCAGTTACTTTGCTGTTTCATTATAAGAAATAATATCAGTAGTACTAAAATGCCACAAGAGCAGCTGCCTCAAGGCTGCAGTTTCAATAGCATTAATACTTCCCATATAAAATAACACCATTTCCCCTTCTGTCTGTTTGGCAGGATGTGATCCCACTATTAAAGGGGATGGACAGTCCTATTACCACACTTCTTATCAAGCACAGTTTACGGGTGAATGGAGTCCACCTGCAAAGCCAAGTGAAAAGGTAACAGCACGATTCTGGGGAGGACCAAGATACAGTTAAAGGACAGCAAGTTCTCACGTTGAATTCTGTCCTGAAAGGGGTGGGATCTGTGCAAGTGGAAACCAGATGGATGGAAAGACAGGAAGGAAGGGGAAGGGGAAGTTCAACCAGGCCGAGTACAAAGTTCTGTATCTCTGTTGGCTTCCCTTCAGCACAGTTCTATTAAATTTGAGGATCCCAGCATCAGTGGATCTGTGAGTGAGCAGAAACATGCCTACAGTGCCCCAGACAAAAGGACACACAGGTATCAGATGGAGAACCTAGTGGGCATCCTCAGGAACTGGTCCTTCTGATGGACACTGCGGTTTAAGCATCTCCTATCTGATCTCTTGCAGAGCCTATGACAAGGAACATGCTGCCTCCCAGATCCAGCAGGTAAACGTGCAGCTGGGGGATGGTTGTACCAGATTCTCCACCTCAACATCCGAGCAGTTCCCAGTATACAATGTAGGTAAGGCAAGTCTGTGACACAGAGCCAACTGTCAAGTTGTTCAGAGGCTGGAATGCTCTGACACCCTTCACTCTTGCTTTTACCAGAGCCTGTAACTATAGTCCACCCAAACCAGTATGTCTCATCCATTCCCAGAGGTGATGAAGACCCTGAAAGAAACCGAGCATTGGCAAGCTCTACTACTACACAGCTCTCCTACCCAGAGGTCTGTTCCCAGCTTTGCTGTGCGGGTGCTTCTCTGTTGGAGACCCTCTCTTCTTTTATGTACACTACTCTGGCACCTAAAGCCAATGCTGTTGTTCCTTCTCCCTTCCCTGCACAGCCTGTTTCTGTTAAAGCAGCTCTTGTGTTCCCAGACCGAACGCCAGAACCTCCTCGCCAAGCCTGACCTGCTGCTTCACAAACACCCAACCAAGCTCTGCCTGGGAGATGAGCATCCAAGCTCCCACGTGTTCAGCACAACGCAGCACTCGGACTATCAGCCACCCCAGCAGAGCGAGAGAGTGATGGCAGACAGCAGGAGCCACCGAGAGAGCCACATCCCCTTCAACTACCACAGTAAGGCTACATTGCTCAGACCGTTGTGGTGCCAGATGAAGCTTGCTGAGGTTCTCCTCGCTCTGTGCAAGGGATGCCAATGCTCTGGGAAGGGAGGCAGCTCAGGTATCTTGAGTTGGAGGTGGCAGGAAGGCACTGGTGCAGCAACACGCCTTTAGTAAAATGAGAGTGTTACCCCCAGACCAGGCAGACCCTTTCTGCACGTGTTTTTAGAAGTTGTTTTGTATTTGTATGTGGGAGGAAGGAGGGGATTTCTGTGTTTATGCAACCTCAGCAGTGGATGTGGGTAGAGCTGGTCATGGTCATTATCAAAATCCTGGCTTTGCCTCCTCTTTCTGATGGCCAGTACTCTGCAGCAGAGAGGTTCCTTCATGCCAACTATCTGGGTTTAAGCCCTTTGCTTTACTAAATGTGGAATGGATCACAGTTGAATTGATCTTTTCCTTAGCCCCAGGCTTCTGGAGCAGCTCCACAACTAGCATGGAGTGCTGTGGAATGATATTCCTATAACTGCCATCTGAATTTCTTCACTTACCTCCTCACCTTGAGGATTGTCTTCTGTCTGGCCAAAAGTTTTCAGCCAAGTGCTGAGAGTAGAGCCTGTTTTTTCCTCTCATTAATGAGATGCATACAGGTCTGTGACTGCAAGTCAAACTGCAAAGCTTTTCTGCTATTGCCTCCTAACTTACTGGCCTGAATTTAATCTTCATTTCAATTCCATCTGTCAGCAAATGAATGTTCTGTCACAACGACAAAGGCCACACTGGTTCCACAGACAGCAGAAACAGCGACCCTCTGAAGAGATGCCACAGCAGGTACAGCCTTAATAGCCTTGGATTTACCATGGGGTGGCTTGGGGAAGCAGGTTTATACCAAGCAAAGCTATAGCCTCCCCACTAATATAGACTCATAGAACAGTTAGGGTTGGAAAGGAACTTAAGACCATCTAGTTCCAACCCTCCTGCCATGCACCTCACACTGAACCATGTCACCAGTTTCTGTGTGTGCTCTTGAGCTACTTGAGCTGGGACAGCCATGCATCAAATCCAGTCTGCCTCTAGCCTCAAGTAAAAGCTCTGTGGGGAGCAGAGTTGCAGATAAGAAAAGTCTCTGAAGGGAGAGGAAGGACAGGCAGCCAAACTCCTAGGCCAGGGCATGTTGGAGGAAGGGGGAAGGTGATTCTGGTCCCCCACAGAGGATCAGAGGAGGAAAATCAGCATAGCTAGAGGTGTCCAGCCAGGGTAAATAATCTCTTTGCACTACTAGCAGAGACCACGGTGCCTCTGCAGAGAGAGGATCCAGGTAGGCACAGACTGCAGCTGTCATGGGGAGTGACCCTTCAGGTACCAATATGGAGCTCAGATGTTGGGGCTGCCAAGTTCTGTGTGACCATCTGCCTCTTCCCCAACCCTGTCCCCCCTGTGTTGAAAGCTCTTTCCTCTCCTCAGATCAAATACTCACACCTGGGGCTACCCTGGAGGGCACAGGACCTCTTCAGGACTGAGCAGAAAGATCAGTTCACACCCAAGTTCAGACAACCAGCAGACATCCAAAAGGCAAACTTCCAAGTGAGCTGCATCCCCCTGGGGACCCTGAAAAGATACTGTCCCCAGAGGAAGGTGCACTTCGCTCCGTGATGTTCTCCCTTCTTCAGTGACCACCCAGAATGTGCTGCTCTGTGGGCTGCCTACACATCGTGTAACCTCTTAGCCATCCTGGTGCTCCTCTCTTGACCCATCTGTGTGTTCTTACAGGGAGCTTTTATTTCTCAAACTGAATGAGGACACAAGAAGGTGTTGTGACAGCAAGAATAAACACTGGGAGATTAGCCCAAAGACGTGCGTGACATCTCCCTGCATTGCAAGACCTACTAAATGTGCCTCTAGGTAGGTGGGGTGATGGGAAGCTCAGAGAAAGGGCAAGAGATCAGCAGCAGAGTCAGAGGCACTGTCAGGGCTGTGTGTGTGCTGGAATATTCCCTTAGGAGCTGTTTGGATTTTGGTGTCAAGGCTGAAACCAAAGGTCAGTGAACAGCAGGGCAGAGAGACAGCTCTCCCCAGTGTATGATGAGCTGTTTTTCTGCAGGCGAGCCATGTATTTGTGATGAGTTACTAACTCATGTAGGTTTCCTGAATGCTGAGCTTGCACTAACTCTGTCTGGGACATGGTATTATGAAAAGGGATGTGTGGGGGGCGGCCAGCCCCATCCCTTAGGGGGCCAAGGAGCAGGGTTAGCTGCCGCCTTGTCACAGCTGCTACTTCTCAAGCTCTCCTCAGCTTTTTAGTGCAGGTGGGATTGATTCACACAGGCTGTGAGCCAGCACCAAAGCCTTTGAGCACGGGTGTCCAAACCATCTCCAATTGCTGCAGTTTGTGTGTGAGCAGTGGCTGGGTACAACAGCCTGCATGCTTTCCTCTTGGGATTTGGCTGTGTCTCTCATGAAAGGGGTAGGCTTTGCTCCACGTACTCAAACCTTGCAAACGCACACAGGCACCTCGCTCAGGATCTTGAGCCCCATACATGGCAAACACCTTGCTTCAAACACCTAGATTGGATGCTTGGTGTAGTAACAGGAACTGGCATCTGCTACAAGTGTGCCCTGTTGCTTCTTTGTGACCCTGAGATGTTGTTGCCACCTGTGCTACCGCAGAAACAGCCACGGTTCATGGAGCGTAGATAGTGAACACCACCCCTTGGTGGAACCCGCTGGCTGGGAGGGCCCTGTGGTTAGTCACTTCCTTGTTCACACTGATTCTGATAGACCTTCAGACACAGTAAAACTGGCTTTTGAGGGAAGGGCCTTTTGCTTTCTAAACACCTCTCCCATCCTTTCCAGC